GTGTCATCCACAGTGTCACAGACACAGTGTTACCCACAGTGTCACAGACACAGTGTCACCCACAGTGTCACAGACCCAGCATCACCCACAGTGTCACAGACACAGTGTCATCCACAGTGTCACAGACCCAGCGTCACAGTCACAGACTCAGCGTCATCCACAGTGTCACAGACCCAGTGTCACCCACAGTGTCACAGACCCAGTGTCATCCACAGTGTCACAGTCACAGTGTCACCCACAGTGTCACAGTCACAGTCCCAGTGTCATCCACAGTCACAGACCCAGTGTCACCCACAGTGTCACAGACTCAGTGTCACCCACAGCGTCACAGACCCAGTGTCACCCACAGTGTCACAGTCACAGACCCAGTGTCACCCACAGTGTCACAGACCCAGTGTCATTCACAGTGTCACAGACCCAGTGTCATCCACAGTGTCACAGTCACAGACCCAGTGTCACCCACAGTGTCACAGACCCAGTGTCACCCACAGTGTCACAGTCACAGACCCAGTGTCACCCACAGTGTCACAGACCCAGTGTCACCCACAGTGTCACAGTCACAGACCCAGTGTCACCCACAGTGTCACAGACCCAGCGTCATCCACAGTGTCACAGACCCAGCGTCACCCACAGTGTCACAGACCCAGTGTCACCCACAGTGTCACAGTCACAGACCCAGTGTCACCCACAGTGTCACAGACCCAGTGTCACCCACAGTCACAGACCCAGTGTCACCCACAGTGTCACAGACCCAGCATCACCCACAGTGTCACAGACCCAGCGTCACCCACAGTGTCACAGACCCAGTGTCACCCACAGTGTCACAGTCACAGACCCAGTGTCACCCACAGTGTCACAGACCCAGTGTCACCCACAGTCACAGACCCAGTGTCACCCACAGTCACAGACCCAGCGTCACCCACAGTGTCACAGACCCAGTGTCACCCAAAGTCACAGACCCAGTGTCACCCACAGTCACAGACCCAGCATCATCCACAGTGTCACAGTCACAGTGTCACCCACAGTGTCACAGTCACAGACCCAGTGTCACCCACAGTGTCACAGACCCAGCGTCATCCACAGTCACAGACCCAGCGTCACCCACAGTGTCACAGTCACAGTGTAACCCACAGTGTCACAGTCACAGACCCAGTGTCACCCACAGTGTCACAGACCCAGTGTCACCCACAGTCACAGACCCAGTGTCACCCACAGTCACAGACCCAGCGTCACCCACAGTGTCACAGTCACAGTGTCACCCACAGTGTCACAGTCACAGACCCAGCGTCACCCACAGTGTCACAGACCCAGTGTCATCCACAGTGTCACAGACCCAGTGTCACCCACAGTGTCACCCACAGTGTCACCCACAGTGTCACCCACAGTGTCACAGACCCAGCATCACCCACAGTCACAGACACAGTGTCACCCACAGTGTCACAGTCACAGTGTCACCCACAGTGTCACAGACCCAGCGTCATCCACAGTGTTACAGACCCAGCGTCATCCACAGTGTCACAGACACAGTGTCACCCACAGTGTCACAGACCCAGCATCACCCACAGTCACAGACACAGTGTCACCCACAGTGTCACAGTCACAGTGTCACCCACAGTGTCACCCACAGTGTCACCCACAGTGTCACAGACCCAGTGTCACCCACAGTGTCACAGACCCAGTGTCACCCACAGTGTCACAGTCACAGTGTCACCCACAGTGTCACCCACAGTGTCACCCACAGTGTCACAGACCCAGTGTCACCCACAGTGTCACAGACCCAGTGTCACCCACAGTGTCACAGTCACAGTGTCATCCACAGTCACAGTCACAGTGTCACCCACAGTGTCACAGTCACAGTGTCACCCACAGTGTCACAGACCCCCAGTGTCACCCACAGTGTCACAGACCCAGCGTCACCCACAGTGTCACAGTCACAGTGTCATCCACATTGTCACAGACCCAGTGTCACCCACAGTGTCACAGACCCAGTGTCACCCACAGTCACAGACCCAGTGTCACCCACAGTCACAGACCCAGTGTCACCCACAGTGTCACAGACTCAGTGTCACCCACAGTGTCACAGTCACAGACCCAGTGTCACCCACAGTCACAGACCCAGTGTCACCCACAGTGTCACAGTCACAGTGTCACCCACAGTGTCACAGACCCAGTGTCATCCACAGTCACAGACCCAGTGTCACCCACAGTGTCACAGTCACAGACCCAGTGTCACCCACAGTGTCACAGACCCAGTGTCACCCACAGTGTCACAGACCCAGTGTCACCCACAGTCACAGACCCAGTGTCACTCACAGTGTCACAGTCACAGTGTCACCCACAGTGTCACAGACCCAGTGTCATCCACAGTCACAGACCCAGTGTCACCCAGTGTCACAGACCCAGTGTCACCCACAGTGTCACAGACCCAGTGTCACCCACAGTGTCACAGACCCAGTGTCACCCACAGTGTCACAGACCCAGTGTCACCCACAGTGTCACAGTCACAGACCCAGTGTCACCCACAGTGTCACAGACCCAGCGTCATCCACAGTCACAGACCCAGCGTCACCCACAGTGTCACAGTCACAGACCCAGTGTCACCCACAGTGTCACAGACCCAGTGTCACCCACAGTCACAGACCCAGTGTCACCCACAGTCACAGACCCAGCGTCACCCACAGTGTCACAGTCACAGTGTCACCCACAGTGTCACAGTCACAGACCCAGCGTCACCCACAGTGTCACAGACCCAGTGTCATCCACAGTGTCACAGACCCAGTGTCACCCACAGTGTCACCCACAGTGTCACCCACAGTGTCACCCACAGTGTCACAGACCCAGCATCACCCACAGTCACAGACACAGTGTCACCCACAGTGTCACAGTCACAGTGTCACCCACAGTGTCACAGACCCAGCGTCATCCACAGTGTTACAGACCCAGCGTCATCCACAGTGTCACAGACACAGTGTCACCCACAGTGTCACAGACCCAGCATCACCCACAGTCACAGACACAGTGTCACCCACAGTGTCACAGTCACAGTGTCACCCACAGTGTCACCCACAGTGTCACCCACAGTGTCACAGACCCAGTGTCACCCACAGTGTCACAGACCCAGTGTCACCCACAGTGTCACAGTCACAGTGTCACCCACAGTGTCACCCACAGTGTCACCCACAGTGTCACAGACCCAGTGTCACCCACAGTGTCACAGACCCAGTGTCACCCACAGTGTCACAGTCACAGTGTCATCCACAGTCACAGTCACAGTGTCACCCACAGTGTCACAGTCACAGTGTCACCCACAGTGTCACAGACCCCCAGTGTCACCCACAGTGTCACAGACCCAGCGTCACCCACAGTGTCACAGTCACAGTGTCATCCACATTGTCACAGACCCAGTGTCACCCACAGTGTCACAGACCCAGTGTCACCCACAGTCACAGACCCAGTGTCACCCACAGTCACAGACCCAGTGTCACCCACAGTGTCACAGACTCAGTGTCACCCACAGTGTCACAGTCACAGACCCAGTGTCACCCACAGTCACAGACCCAGTGTCACCCACAGTGTCACAGTCACAGTGTCACCCACAGTGTCACAGACCCAGTGTCATCCACAGTCACAGACCCAGTGTCACCCACAGTGTCACAGTCACAGACCCAGTGTCACCCACAGTGTCACAGACCCAGTGTCACCCACAGTGTCACAGACCCAGTGTCACCCACAGTCACAGACCCAGTGTCACTCACAGTGTCACAGTCACAGTGTCACCCACAGTGTCACAGACCCAGTGTCATCCACAGTCACAGACCCAGTGTCACCCAGTGTCACAGACCCAGTGTCACCCACAGTGTCACAGACCCAGTGTCACCCACAGTGTCACAGACCCAGTGTCACCCACAGTGTCACAGACCCAGTGTCACCCACAGTGTCACAGACCCAGTGTCACCCACAGTGTCACAGACACAGTGTCATCCACAGTGTCACAGTCACAGTGTCATCCACAGTGTCACAGTCACAGACCCAGTGTCATCCACAGTGTCACAGACCCAGTGTCACCCACAGTGTCACAGACCCAGTGTCACCCACAGTGTCACAGACCCAGTGTCACCCACAGTGTCACAGACCCAGTGTCACCCACAGTGTCACAGACCCAGTGTCACCCACAGTGTCACAGTCACAGTGTCATCCACAGTGTCACAGTCACAGACCCAGTGTCACCCACAGTGTCACAGTCACAGACCCAGTGTCACCCACAGTGTCACAGACCCAGTGTCACCCACAGTGTCACAGACCCAGTGTCACCCACAGTGTCACAGTCACAGACCCAGTGTCACCCACAGTGTCACCCACAGTGTCACAGACCCAGTGTCACCCACAGTGTCACAGACCCAGTGTCATCCACAGTGTCACAGACCCAGTGTCACCCACATTGTCACAGTCACAGTGTCATCCACAGTGTCACAGTCACAGACCCAGTGTCATCCACAGTGTCACAGTCACAGTGTCATCCACAGTGTCACAGTCACAGACCCAGTGTCACCCTCAGTGTCACAGACCCAGCGTCACCCACAGTGTCACAGACCCAGTGTCACAGTCACAGTGTCATCCACAGTGTCACAGACCCAGTGTCATCCACAGTCACAGACCCAGTGTCACCCACAGTGTCACAGTCACAGTGTCACCCACAGTGTAACAGTCACAGTGTCACAGACACAGTGTCACAGTCACAGACCCAGTGTCACCCACAGTGTCACAGACCCAGTGTCACCCACAGTGTCACAGTCACAGTGTCACAGACACAGTGTCACCCACAGTGTCACAGACCCAGTGTCACCCACAGTGTCACAGACCCAGCGTCACCCACAGTGTCACAGACCCAGTGTCACCCACAGTGTCACAGACCCAGCGTCATCCAAGCCCTGGGCGCTACCCCTACCTCTGGCCCTGATCCCTGTCCCAGCCCTGCCCCCCCCCCCCCCCCGTGTCCGCACCAGGTCTGCGCGACGGTGAAGCGACGCCGCTGGTGGATGCTCCTGTTCATGAGCAGCTTGCGGAAGAGGCTCGGCGAGCAGCGCGGTGAGCAGCGAGGGGACGGCGCCGGCGAGTCGCGGGGGGACGGCGGCGTGGCCCCCCCCGTGGCCGTCAGCCCCCCTCCAGGCAGGCCCGCCACGCCGAGCCGCAGTCTCTCCAGGGGCTCGCCGCTCGCGGTTTCCGACATCGCCGCTCGGCACCAACCCCCCCGCCCGCCACCCCCGGGAGTTGGACTCCCCCTGGCTGGAGTAGCCGGGTCGGCCGCCTGCCTGGCTGGATAGCTGGGTGGCTGGATAGCTGGCTAGCTGGGTGACTAGCTGGGTGGCTGGATAGCTGGGTGGCTGGGTGACTAGCTGGGTGGCTGGGTAGCTGGCTAGCTGGGTGACTAGCTGGGTGGCTGGATAGCTGGGTGGCTGGGTGACTAGCTGGGTGGCTGGCGAGCTGGGTAGCTGGCTGGCTAGCTGGGTGACTAGCTGGGTGGCTGGCGAGCTGGGTAGCTGGCTGGCTGGCTAGCTGGGTGACTAGCTGGCTGGCTGGCTAGCTGGCTAGCTGGGTAGCTGGCTAGTTGGATGGCTGGCTAGCTGGGTAGCTGGCTGGGTAGCTGGCTAGTTGGATGGCTGGCTAACTGGGTGGCTGGCTAGCTGGCTAGCTGGCTAGTTGGGTGGCTGGATAGCTGGGTAGCTGGCTAGCTGGGTAGCTGGGTAGTTGGGTGGCTGGCTAGCTGGGTAGCTGGCTAGCTGGGTAGCTGGCTAGCTGGGTAGCTGGGTAGCTGGCTATTTGGATGGCTGGATAGCTGGCTGGCTAGCTGGGTGACTGGCTAGTTGGCTGGCTGGGTGGCTGGCTGCCTGGCCGGCTGGATGGCTGGCTTATCTGGCTACCTGCCTGGATGGCAGCCTGCCTGCCTGGCCGTCTGGGTAGATGGCTAGCTGGCTGGATGGCTGCGGACTGGGTGGACGATTGACTAGCTGGCTGGGTGACCGAGTAGGTCCCTGATTGACTGACTAGTTGGGTGACTATTTGGCTGGGTGACTGACTAGCTGGGTGACTGACTAGCTGGGTGATGGACTGGGCACGTGACCGACTAGCTGGGTGACTGACTAGCTGGGTGACTGACTAACTGACCAGCCGACTCGCCGGCTGAACGAGCAACTGAGTGACTTGTCGTTGCTGGTGGTGGCCGGCTGGCTGGCTTTGACTAGATGACTTGCCGACCGGCTGAACAGATGACTGACCAGCCGTCCTGATCATTGACTTGACGAGTGACTTGGTAGAGGGGGGTGGGGGGCGTTTGGGGTTGGTGGTGATGATCGGCCCGGAGCGAGGAAGCCCAATGGACAAGCGGGTCCAGGCGGTTGTTGTTGTTGTTGTTGGTGGTTGGTTGTTGATTGTTGTTGTTGTTGGTGGTGGTCTGGTCTCCCGCTTCCGGACCAGCTTCACGGTCGACTCGGGGGCATCGTGACCCGATGGTTGACGCCCTCCCTGCCGGCATCAAAGGACGACTCCTTGGGCTGGACGACGCTGGCGGCAGCAGCAGCAGCAGCAGGAGGAGGTTGCAGAGGGCGAGAGTCTTCGTTGTGTCCACACACTCCGTACCCACTTCTTATTTCTGGCTTCGAGTCATCGTGAAACCTCTTACACCTCTTACACCTCTTCTTCTTCTTCTTCCCCGCTCGTCCGTCCCACTGCCTGGACCGATATCTCTCCGGGGGTGATGTGGTGGTGCTTGCTGCTGCTGCTGGTGATGGTTGTTGTTGTTGTTGTCAGCTGTGGGTCTCTATATCAAGTTGGTGCTGTGTCCCCCACCCCACACACACCCCACCTGCACTGTGTTGTCTCTCTCCCACTGTTGTCTCTCTCCCACTGTGTTGTCTCTGTGTTGTCTCTGTGCTGTCTCTCTCTCTCTGTGTGTTGTCTCTCTCTCTGTGTTGTCTCTCTCTGTGTTGTCTCTCTCTCTGTGTTGTCTCTCTCTCTCTCTCTGTGTTGTCTCTCTCTGTGTTGTCTCTCTCTCTCTCTCTGTGTTGTCTCTCCCTGTGTTGTCTCTCTCTCTCTCTCTGTGTTGTCTCTCCCACTGTGGTGTCTCTGTGTTGTCTCTGTGTCCGTCTCTCTCTCCCACTGCGTTGTCTCTGTGTTGTCTCTGTGTTGTCTCTCTCTCTCTCTCTGTGTTGTCTCTGTGTCCGTCTCTCTCCCACTGCGTTGTCTCTCTCTCTGTGTGTCCGTCTCTCGCCGTCTCCCCGGCGCCTATGTCTCTCACTTAACAACAACAATAACAACAACAACAATATCGCTGCGGGTTCACTCTGCCTCCACTTCGGCTCGATCTGCGAGGACACATCTCTCTCTCTGCCTGAAGCCCCGTGAGCTTCACCTCTTCCTCCCTCTCTCTCTCTCTGCACCCCCTCCACCACCACCTCTCTCCCCCGCTGTCTTATTGTGTTATGAGCCGAGCAACACGCATGCACATCAATGCTGCTGCTGCTCTCTCAAGCCCGCTACCCCCTCTCCCTCCCTCCCCCCCACTCCCCCCACTCCCCCTCTCTCTACTCCTATCTCCTGCTCCCTGCTCTCCCCTCCCTCTCCTCTCTCTCCCTCCCCCCTCCCTCTCCTCTCTCTCCCTCTACTCCTATCTCCTGCCCCCTCTCTCTTCCCCCCCACTCCCTCTCTCTACTCCCCCCCACTCCCTCTCTCTCTTCCCACCCCCACTCCCTCCCTCTCTCTCTACCCCCCCACTCCCTCTCTTCCCCCCCCACTCCCTCTCCCCCCCACTCCCTCTCTCTCTCCCTCCCACTCCCCCCCACCCCCACTCCCTCTCTCTCTTCCCCCCACTCCCTCTCTCTCTACTCCCCCCCACTCCCTCCCTCTCTCTTCCCCCCACTCCCTCTCTCTATCCCCCCCCCCCACTCCCTCTCTCTACCCCCCCCACTCCCTCTCTCTACCCCCCCACTCCCTCTCTCTACCCCCCCACTCCCTCTCTTTCTCTACTCCCCCCACTCCATCTCTCTTCCCCCCCCACTTCCTCTCTCTACCCCCCCCACTCCCTCTCTCTACTCCCCCACTCCCTCTCTCTCTCTACTCCCCCCCACTCCCTCTCTCTCTCTACTCCCCCCCACTCCCTCTCTCTTCCCCCCACTCCCTCTCTCTTCCCCCCACTCCCTCTCTCTTCCCCCCACTCCCTCTCTCTACCCCCCCCACTCCCTCTCTCTACCCCCCCCCACTCCCTCTCTCTCTCTACTCCCCCCCACTCCCTCTCTCTTCCCCCCACTCCCTCTCTCTCTTCCCCCCACTCCCTCTCTCCCCCCCCACTCCCTCTCTCTACCCCCCCCCACTCCCTCTCTCTCCCCCCCCCCCACTCCCTCTCTCTCCCCCCCCCCCCCACTCCCTCTCTCTCTCCTCCCCCCACTCCCTCTCTCTCTACTCCCCCCCACTCCCTCCCTCTCTTCCCCCCCACTCCCTCTCCCTCTACTCCCCCCCACTCCCTCCCACTCTTCCCCCCCACTCCCTCTCTCTCTACTCCTCCCCTCTCTTCCCCCCACTCCCTCTCTACCCCCCCCCTCTCTCTCTACCCCCCCCCTCTCTCTCTACTCCTCCCCTCCCTCCCTCTCTCTCTCCGGGTCTCCCCCCTCCCCTCATCTCCCCCCCCTCTCTCCCGCACGATCACTGCTCCCTTTCTCTTTCAATGCTCCCAACTCTCCCTCTCTCTGCCTCGCTCTCTCCTTTCTCTCCCCAGCACTATTGTTTCCCCTTTTAATTGCTCCCCCACCTCTCTCTCTATCCCTCTCTCTAGCATCTCTATCATCTCTCTATCATCATCTCTCTATCATCATCTCTCTCTCTCTATTAAGCGTGTATTTGTGTAGCTGGTGACTTTGTGCGTTTCATATCGGAATCGCCTCCCGTGCTGTTGCTGCTGGCGGCAATAAAAGTTGTTTCAAAGCCAAGTCTCTCTATCATCTCTCTCTATAATCTCTCTCCATCATCATCTCTCTATATCATCTCTCTATCATCTCTCTATCATCTCATCTCTCTCTAGCCCCACCGGTACTTACGCTGCCAGCGACCCACACCAATGTTTCCGCCTTTTGGGGGACATCTTCAGGAAACTGGGGGTGCCCTTCTCCAACAGCAGCTTCGTATATGGGGTGGTGCCTTACGTGGCTAACAAGCGCCATGACCTCGCCAACTTCGCCTGTGCTCAGGCGAAGTTGGCGGTGTACAGAACGAGGAAGAAGATGCTGCAAGGTGACACTGACGGCTGCTCTGTGCTGCTTCCAGTGTTCAGGGGCCTGCTCAAGGCGCGGCTCCGGCTGGAGCACGCCATGTACCACACACACGTGTCGGTGATGTGCAGCGCGTCTTCTTAGAACGCTGGGGAGCCGGACAAGCCCCTCTCTGTACCGGCGTGCACGGCACCACCCCACGTGTTCACCTTCTGAAGCGCTCGCTCGTCACCGTGACGTGAGCGATGACCACCACCACCACGTGACTTTTATTTTGTGTTGTGCACGGTGTATTTAGCGCCAGAGCACGTGGATTTATAGCGTGTTTGTTTGTGTTGCTGATGACTTTGTGTATTTCATATCGGAATCGCCTCCATTGCTGTTGCTGCTGGCGGCAATAAAAGTTGTTTTAAAGTAAAAAAAGTCTCTCTGTCTCTCTATCCGTCTATCGCCGCACACCAAAGTGTGTGCCTATGATGGCCTATTGCCCAAAACGTCGTACGTGAGATATGTTTCCCATTTTCAAGGCCACGCGCAGTCGTCGTCGTCGTCATCGTTGTTAGTCTTGCTTTTAATTACGAACGAGTCTTAATCAGAAAATGTACATAAATACTGCACGAGGAATCCGATGAGCTATAAAGCTCTTCCACCCCCCTCCCACCCCCGCCACAGATGTCCAGCTGGACTGGGTCAGAACGTGACAACAACAACAACAACCATCACATAAACACAATGGAGGAGTGCAAAGTATGAGAAGGGAAAGCAAAATCGTTTTAAACCAAGTAGGAACGTGACGCTCGGCGAGTTTTTAATTAGCCACGTAAAAGCCCACTGCAGTTATTTGGCTTATTTTTCAGAAGCGAACTGGGTATACACACACATTATAGTACACACACACACTATAGTATACACACATTATAGTAAACACACACACATTATAGTACACACACACATTATAGTACACACACACTATAGTATACACACACATTATAGTACACACACACACTATAGTATACACACACATTATAGTAAACACACACATTATAGTACACACACACTATAGTACACACACACATTATAGTACACACACACATTATAGTACACACACACACATTATAGTACACACACACACTATAGTATACACACACATTATAGTAAACACACACAC